CGTCATAAGTGAACGGCTCCTGATTTGGTCTCAATTATTTAAATTTCATACAGAATAGCTACTTATTTACTGACTGCAATCTAGTTTTAAGCTTAAAGTTACAACATAAGTGCTAAATTCAACTCAAATTCGATCAAAATTATAATTAAAATTCATTTACAATTGCAATTGACAACAAACAATTCAATTGCAATTAAACTCATATAAAGCTCCAAAGCACTTCATATCAAAACTATCAAAATCACTAAAATTATTATATTTACAATTCAGCATAAAGCTTTCATCAAATTGCCCTCGTTATCGTAATAATTCTGAAGTAAACAAATTGGGGCGAAAAATTTAATTAAAATTTTTGAGTTTTATCTTTTTTCCATTATCATCGATTCATAATCACTCATAATCTGAAATCAATAACATATATTCATAATTAATTGAATTTTAAGTGAACAATTAAAATAAATAATCGCATATGAATTCATCCTTTATTATTTACATTGAAATTTTAATTAATTGTAGTTTGAATGAGGATTCTGATTTTTTTTTCACTAATTTTTATTATTAATGCAGAGATTTTGTAATGATTTTGAGATAATTTGTGAGCTTTAAATGTGGACTAGGGATATTGTTGAATTTAATGAATGAAGTATAAAAGCTTTAGGGTTTTAAATATTAACTGTCTTATTTTAAATATCAAGATTGATCAAATGGAATTCAGAACTACACCAAATGAAGATTTTAAAAATGGAGATAAGATATTCTGGTTAATACTTTCGAAAATAGTTCAAAAATGTTATTTACAAAGTTTTTATAAAATTCTATAGAAAGCAATTGACAAAGGATTTTTAAATTAAATAAGATTATCATTAAAAAGAATTAGTTTCATGTTATGCCTGAATCTGGTTCAAGTTTGCTAATTCATCAAAACCTCATTTAAGCTAGCAATAAAACTAGTTATCTCATTAACTTTGAATCCAATTCAAGACAACGAGAAAATTGTCCGTTATTAATTCAGAAATTTGAAATTTCTTGCATAATTTCAAGAGTGTGTTCACAAAAAGAGTTGCTTTCGAAAAACAAAATTGCAATTTTATCTTAATTTAATACATTTTGATATTCCAATAAAACTTTAATAGCATTATTTGACGTCTAAGAAAACATTAAAACTATTCAAAAAGCTAAAACACATGAAATTAAAATTAGTGAAATTAAAGTTCAATTTTAAATGTAAGCAAATCATTTTCGAACATAATTGTTTTCGATTTCGAAAGATGAAAAACCGTTGTCCTGTGTTTGTCTAAAGTATCTGAATCATTCAGAAACTTTAGCAACTCCAACTAAAAGTCTCATAGTGTGTAAACTTCCAGCAATAATCCTCGCTTTATTAAAATTCAAAATTTTAATTATCAGGTTTAATTAAAATTAAAATAAGAAAAAAGTACTTCTCAAAGCAAAACTATATTAATAATTCATGATAAGTGTTTTGCTGATTCTTCAGAAAACTTCAAAAATTTACTCAAAAGTCTGCAGAATTGAAAGCCACACGAAAAAGTTTCTAAATTTAAATAAGATTGCAAAACAAATTGAAAATAACATTTTAATTTAATTTATTTTATTAATGTGTATTTAAGATGAGCACGAAAATTACTTTTTGGAAACTTTTATGTGGTTTTTATGGAAAAATCATTCATAAATAAATTAACAAGTAGCTATAAATTTTAATCTCTTCACACAAAACTTTGTTGCTAAGTTGCATTATGATAATTTTTCTGAAAAGATAGAGTACTGAAGGAAACAGATGTCAGAATGTAAACAGACATATTTCTCACGAATGTACTTCAGAAAAGTGTTTTCGTTTAAAATTCATTGAAAAAATATTGTGAGTAAATTTATTCATGTCGATTTGAAATTGTGAGTTTTCACTTCTTAAACTTGGAAATTTTGAGTTGATTCAGGTGAGAAAATTACTTATTGAATTTTAAATTTCTTCAAATTCACATTCTGAATGAGATTTTATGAACATATAAAGTAGGTATCAAGAATTTCAATAAATTTAATTTCTTAGAATTTTTCTGTATGAAAAGCTTTCACTTGTGGTGAATGAAAAACGAGTAAGGAAGAAATTTAAATGTTGTGAAATGGGGTCCGTGATAGATAGGGTGACCATCTGCGTAGTTTTACAACGGACAGTCCTGTATTTCAAAACCCTGTCCTGTATAAATTTGAAAATTTTGTTCCAGGTCCTGTATTTTTTTCACGAAAATTTCCGTTAATTTTCAAATTTTCCTTTGTGTCCTGTATTTTTTAGGAGATTTATCAAATGTCCTGTATTTTTATAAAAATTAGATGGTCACCCTAGTGATAGATTATATATAAGAGGGTCTTCGTACCCTCAACCCATTAGAACAAGATGTAGTGCTGACGCGCAGCCACTGGAGGAATTTTGAGTAAAAAATCCTCTTACGTCTTCAGAATTTTTTTCATTTTGTCATGTTTTTTTTTGTTGAAAAAACCCTGAAAATCTACCCCCCCCCCCCTCCTTAAAATTTTTTGAACCCGCTCCCACCCTTAAATTCCTGGTTACGCCCCTGACGTAGTTTAAAAGCGGCACCACGCCAGCATGAGGATGAATTGAAGTTTGATTCGGTAAAATCTGGTTCCACGTTTACGTTGCTTAATGTGCCATAAGCTATGGCGCTAAGTTTCATAGCAATTTAATATATATGGGATCATTATCTTATCAAAACAATTCTCAAGTCGATAGCGAGTCATGAATAACTCAAAATGTTTGTGTTACTCTAGGTCAGTAATTTTAATTAAATACAATCCAAACATTATTGTAGCTTCAAGTAATGTTGTTCTTGTTCTTCTGGATATTATTGTACTACAAATTAATGAGAATTTTAAATAAAATGGTTTAAATCGTTTAAATTATTTAAAGATTTGTTGTAATGTTTTGGTTAAGTTGTGAATTATTTAAGACTTTTAGCTCCAATAAGTTTACGTAGAACGATTTAGTATATTTTTTAAAAGTACTGGGGGTCCTTGATTTTATTCAGAAAAATCTTGTTCAAATCGGATCTACTCAAATCGAATTGTTTACTTTTTGTATGGAAAATGTCCGTTACAAAAAAATATTTCAATTTTCTTTTAATTAATTTTCGTTACTCAAATCGAGGACCCCCCCCAATATGAATGAATTTTAAAAATTTAAATATTAAATGACTAGAAACCTCCAAAAAAATCTTAATAAAATCAGCAAAAATAATAATTCAATTTTCACAAAATTTCCATTTCCAAACAAAATCAACATCCCGATGAATTCAAATTTTCTAAGTAAATACCAATAAATACCGTGAATTTGAATCAAAGATGCTTACGTCACAAGACAATGAAATTTTGTTCAACCTCACAAAAAGGCCTGACAACATAATTTCATTCGAATTGCTCTCGCGCCACACATAAATAAATATTCTTGTTCTGAATTGAAGTGAATGGAATTATCAGTGAATGCAACGAAATAAAATGAAATATATGAAAAAAAAAATTTATTCCAATCAAATTCACTGATAAGATAAACGGTTCGTATTGTGAAAATACAGTAAAAGAAGAAGATCAGTATTTGAGTCGTTGATGTAGGTTTGTGTTTGAGGTTAGAGCGCTGTTTTGCTATTATTATTATAAATTATTGAATTCTATTGAATGAATTGACGTGCTTGATAGAGAGTAAACACTATGACAGCCATGAAGTTGGTTGAGGAGGTGTTCTGAAGACTTTTACTTCCAATTTGTGAATGTTTTCGAAAACTCAAATTTTCAACTGGCTGGCTGGCTGCCTTAAAACTCGGAACTGGAAGCACTTAGAGACTTCTGGTTTTTGCATTCGATAGCTCTTTTATAATAATGTGGGTGTCCACACGTCCACACATTTATATTTCTTAATTCCTCTTAGGGGCCGTTCATTTATGACGTCTAGAGGGGAGGGGGTCAGTAACAAAAGAACAACAGAAATTCCTAGAAATACATTTTTCTCTTTTGAAAAATGACCGTTAATTCTGGAAGTCATTCGTTCTGTTTTTTGTAGTTCTCAAAATTGATGTTAAATTAGCCAATGAATTTAAATTTAAAAAACCGTTAATTTTTGAATCTCAAAAAACCGTTACATTAGAATGTTTGGAAGTAATATCCAAATGAGATTTGGCATCAAGATTCAGTAACTGTTCCTGAATAAGAGGGATTGAAAAAGGAGGGGTAGCAAAATCGGGGAGTCAAACTTCTTTTTTCACCTTAGAGCATCTCCCATGAAACAATGGTGTACCGCACCACAAAATTACATTTTGAGCGGATGATTAATGTACCGCAGCACATAAGTTTGCTTCCACTGTCCTAAAGAATACAGCTCAATAAAGCACAATCTTAAAAACTTTGCAGAAAGCTTAAAAAATTGTTTAAAATTCAATAAAAATAATTCGAGCTCTTTGACTTCCCAAACTGCACCCAATTCGCCTCAATTCTCAAAAATCTTACGTCACAAAAAAAGGAATTGGAGCAGCAAAAAGATAGAATAGGAAAATTCTCAATAGCTCAAAACTCATAAATAATTGAGAGTCTCTACGTATTGAAGAAAATAAAAATCGTAATAATTTAAAATTAGTCTCATCGTCACATTTATAGTGATAAGACGCGACTTTTACAGCTGTCAGTAATAAATACTATTGTGTACATAACGTGTGAAGTTGTTATCGCTAAACGACGAGGAATATTCAATTAAAAATATTCATAAAGATTAAAAGAAATAATAATTGATTTCGTAACGGGAAATAAATTGCGAAATTCCAAAACATTTTCATGCGGAATAAATTAATCAGGTAATCCATTACAAAAATATTCGCATTTAATAGTTTCCAGCATGTCCCACATATGCTTGTGGATGAATAATAATGAAAGAATGGATAGAAATTGATTGTTTTATTTATTTGACATGAATATTAATGAAGGGAGTTGATTTATTATATCACATCCAAATAGACGTGTGTGTATATGTACTTCGGTACATGCACATAACATCAACAGTAGTCGAAATAGCATCGGTACATTAATGTGAATAGACAAGATCATAACATGAAAATATGTATAGACAGATAAATTTTTAGCACGTTCTTTCCATACACCCGCATATCTCCATCTTACTCACTCGCTCATACTAATTCACACGCTTTCTTTCTTTTGCTATATGCTGAACGTATAAATAATATTTATGATACTAGGTTTATTAGTAACGTGGGACGTTATCCTTATATTCAAGGCACAACAAAACAGAGATGATTATTTTTCAACATAATAAATTAGATAACTGAAGGAGAGATAGAATTGGAACGAACTAGAACTTAGCTTGTGTAATAAAACGCTTTTATTTCATGAGCTGCAACTAGCTTTAGGTTTTTCTTTTCGGGTTGTATTTTTGTGAATTTTCCTATTGTATTATTTAGATTGACGTTTGATTCAATTTTGGGAATTCCAGGTCGTGCCATCGGAAACTCATAGTAATATCAGTGTATTAGATTGTGGCATGCAGCTGGATTCGATTTAAAGCGGCTCTAAGTAAGAGTCACTCCAGCTTGGCGCTAAATTTCTGGTCGATTAAACTATTTGTGCTTTCCGGGATAGAGATCAATATCAGCTGATATAACCTCAACATTTTGTTAAAAGAATATTATTTTCTCTAGCTATAAAAACGGGGGATGTAAGTGGCTTTCTCAATTTATCAGAGATCGAAGCCGATTTTTTCGGCTTAACTCAATTTTTGATTTTTTTGATAGAAAAAAGCCATTTGACACCCATTTCAAGTATTTAAATTGAACTTTACATGCTTTACTATGATTCTGTGTAATATTTTGTCAGCATGTAGCTATAGTAAGCTCAGAATTTCAATTTAGTCAATGCTAAGCCGAAATTTAAGCCGATTGGCTTAAAATCGGCTAAATTGAAATTCTGAGCTCGTTATAGCTACATGCTGACAAAATATTACACAGAATCATAGTAAAGCATGTAAAGTTCAATTTAAATACTTGAAATGGGTGTCAAATGGCTTTTTTCTATCAAAAAAATCAAAAATTGAGTTAAGCCGAAAAAATCGGCTTCGATCTCTGCAATTTATATTATTTAAAAAATGATAAGCTATCCTTTAATGTCGTGAAGCTTAATGCGAATGCTACCTAACCTTATTCTCACACTGGAAAATTCATCTGCATATGTTTCGATACAGGCGGGTAGCCAGGAGGGTCTTGTCCCCCATTAAACGATTTGAACCAGAGCGAGAGCACGGCCTAAAATGCTTAAGAGGGGGACAATACCCTCCCTGGCTACGCGATTGGTTCGATACCTCAGACTCTTCTCTGCTCCGACATTTCTTCTGCTAAATCTAAAACACATTTTTTTTTTCAAGCTTCATCGAGCACACGACATAACAAAGTCAAAATTAGTTGCACTAGATCAACAGAATTCAATTTATTTTAATCAAGTCTTGAACCTAGTATCAGCAATTAAGCATTGACGATTTGATGATTAGTTCCTATTGATCCACTGTGAATCGTAGGTCGTTAATAAAGCGGTTGAACAGGCTTCTGTTCCGGGCTATAACAGCTCCATCTGCTAGTTTCTTTTATTATTGTCCTAAGCATTATCATGTTGAAATACAGAAACCTTTATCTTCTAAAATTAATCATAAAAATCTTAACCATTCCCACAAAAATTTTAATCTTTAATTAAGTTCAAAAGTCATTTAGTCATTTCAAATCAATCCCCAAATCATATATATTTTTCACAAAGACGCTAAAAATTGAGATGAGAAAAATTCGTTCGTTCTCTTCCTCATTTTTTCATCCCTCTATCTTTACATATACACACAGTGTACACATTTCATTCAGTTTATCAAAGTGCTTTCATTTTCTTTCACATCTTTCACAACGAAGGATGCTAGCAAAGCCTGTTCTCGTCTGAGATGTATCTTTAAAAAAAGCTGTATTTCCGTACATATTCATAATAATATCCATTTTTTTTTCACATATTTATTTTCACTGCCTTGTTCGTGTCTGTGTATATATTATGATGATTATTATAAGTAACTACCTATCGACCTACATACTTCTATTCATCCTTTATTCATTCTTTTGCGTATATTATAATTTATTCTGCTATTTTTTTCTTAAAAAGGATATATTGCTGACTGTGGAGTGTTGAATTTTTTTATTATTATTATTTTTCTTGATTTACATTCTTAACGGAAGATTAAGGAAAATTGAGCAACGTTATAAGCTGACTTTCAAATTACTTCTTAACTTTATTATTATTTAAGCTTTATATTTCCTTTGTTATGTACTTAAGCGAAATGGAATTTATAATATATTCAAATTGGGCTGTAAATTAAGATTAGACTTTTTCGTGGTGCTTTTATGCTGATATGGCATAAAAAATAATATTTAATTATATTTTGGATTGAGTTTGGAATATCGCGTGAAGATTATAATTTTTTTTGTGTGTCGCACTCTTGGCTTTCTCTGGTTTAAACATGGCTACTATAAAATGTATGCCTATACTCCACAATACACTCTTGTGTCATCGGAAGCTTGACGAATTTTTAAAATTGACTTAGAGATAGATCTTCAGTTTATAGTGGGGCATCAGCCACTTTTTTGATGAATGACTGCTTGTATCTGAAAAAGGGCCCGAATAGCACAAGTCGGAGCTTGCCAGCTTGGTTTCAGATTTCAATTTCTAATTTCATTCTCTTCCTCCTGCCTCTCCTTTACCAGACATTTGTTAATTTTGCATACCAAAATATTACTACCTAAGCTCACCAACCCCCCCCCCCTCCTTCCTCTATGGAGGGTTTATACCGATACCCTGACCCTGCTCACACCAAAATGTCTTCTTAAACACTAATATAATTCATAAAGCACCTAAATTTATTTTTTAAAGACACTTACCTCTTAAATATCGCAAAAAAAAATCAATAAATATTTTAACCTTTTCGTGGAAATAAATCAAGCGACTTATTCGAATAGATTTTCACCTACCTTGAATAAATCCTTTTATACCCGATTGAAGCACAGCATTAAAGAGCTTACCGCCCTCAATTTATACACCAAATATTCCAAAATGTAGGCCAATTTTGACATTATTTAAATATCAAGCTGACAATGTTTGCCAATAATTTCATGAAAATCGTGTAAAATCGTGCTGAGTTCTTTTCTCCTGCGGGAAATCTTGCCATCAATTTTCCTTCCTCTTATTATTATTTTCCCTTTGAGTATTCACGTCATTCTCAACACGAATCAAACTCATCAAAAAAATTGCCTTGAATTTAATTTTTATAATATTTTTTTTTTGCCGTACCTGCCTTTTTTTGTTGCGTAACATAAATGTTGCATGAGAACCTTGGGGCTGTTCATTTATTATGTTCTAATTTTGTAGGACTCTTCTTTTTGGATTGTTGGAAACTTTGGAAGGAATATTGTTTTTGTTTAGTAGGGATGGGTTTCTAGATTTGCATCAACACCTCCTCCTAGTAAGTAGTATGTGAGTACGTATCGTGAGTACGTACGGATGTGAGGTCAAATCTAGTTGTATATATAGACATTTCCTAAAGACCCAACCCTCCAAAAAGAGAGGAACCAAATAAGTGAACGACCCCCGATCCAAAAAATTGAAATCATTAAAATAATTGTTTAATTTCCGAAACTCGATCTACAAAGGAAGAAGAATCTCAATTTTTTTTTCTAATTTCCCTTTTTCATTTTCTATCTCGTTACAGGTTGAATGAAATTATTCATCAAGTAGAAGAAATATATATTATATTTTTATATGTAAATTACAAAAGCTAAGCAGATTTCTTTGATGTACGCATACCTTACAACAATAAACGAGGAGAAAGTGATGATAGAAAATATTCATCGATCGAATTTCAAATAATAAAAATAAAACAAGTGAACGAATTTAGCAAAGAGAACAAATTTGGCACAGCAGGAAGTGAGAAGGAAAGAAAAATTCAAAAACATGACATCATTACGTAAAGTCTCATCATTAAATGGAATTTATATTTTCACAAGTCTCTTTATCCTCTCAATTTTAACAAGTCCTTATCGATGTGATAGTAGTGATAGCAACCTCTCATCGGGTAATGTAAATGTCACAAATAATTTTATAAGCAACACTAAAACAAATAGTAAATCAGGAATCGATGGCGCACAGGCCACATTAACCAATGACGATATACAGAATGGTCAACAGATACCATTAGTTAGACTACCATCCAATGTGCTACTGAAATATACCGCATACAAGGATGTTTCCATACAGCATTATCTTATGCCAGTGGATACACGGAGTGCTACATTTAGTTTCAAGTCATATGAGGAATCGAAAAGTGCCTTAAGTGAGTAATCGTGTAATGCTGGTAATATTTTATATTATTGTGTTTCTATGCTTTTATTTTCTTCGTCTTCATTCTACTCTTCCGCCAACCAACCAACCAACCACCATCCACTATTATGGATGAATGAATAAATATTATATATATGAAAGGGAAAATGTAACAAAAGCTGTTGATACTTTCTTTTCCTTCTTTGAATTGCTTTGCTACTCTTGAATTGATAAGTGCTGTTTGGGTTTGCTTTGTCTTGATGGACTTATTGGCACTTGAATGAGAGTTTTGTAGGCTTACTTCTGTTTGTTATCTGGAATTGAATTTTTTTCAGCTGTGGTATAGCAATTGTGTTTGTGACACTGTTTAAAATGATATAAGCAATAGCCAGTGCTTAGTCTACGGTCGCCTCTATGCTTCACCACTGCTTTGATTTATTGAGACGTCAAAATTAAGATTTTAAGCCCCTATTCAAATATTTAAGACCTTCTCTAAATTATCTGAATAATCTATTAATACCAAGGGGATAACAGCTTGATGAGAAAATATTTTTGATGGAAAATTCCGATTAATTCTCCACAGTTCATGCTTTTTCAAATTATTTAAACCGATTACTGATGCAAACTTTTTCCATTAAGCTGTTATCCCCTTGGTTAAAACATAATGCAGTTTATCAATGACTTCGCAGTGAAATTTAAATTTTCTGATCTAATAATCCTCGAAAAAATGCGCTCTTTATCCTTTAATCTCACAAAAAATCTCTTGTTTCTATCGTACGATCTCTAACTCCAGATAATGCAATGAAAAATATTTTCATTTTTGTGTCTTGTTTACCAGTTTTAATGCCACTTGATACTTTTCCCATAACTTTCTTCATACACAACTTTCTCTCTACATTTTTGCCTTCACATTAAATATTCTACCGATTGTAGTCGATACTTTTATCATCGTTGTTTTTCCTCTCGTTGCAGGAATGTAGTGATGGGAGTGTTTTGGGGTCGAACAAGGGTTTTCTAGAATATTTTTTCTTTCATACAAAAAATTTACAATCTACCTTTGAAAAACTTCTGGCTACATCCCTGTTTTCCTTCTCTTTTCCTCATTCCCGTTCGACTGCTTGCATATTTAACTTCCTCATTTCACATGCTTAACATTTACAATTCTACTTTTAATACTACTAAATCCGATCAAGCTCAGTTTGGCTTTCACATAACAATTGTGAATAAAGATGTGAAAATTTAATGAGCAGCGAATGCAGCAATAGCAAAAAAAAGACGGAAATTGAGACAGAGAAAAAAAAGGATGAAAGGTAGCAAGTGAGGTAAATTTTTTTACTAAGCTTTTGCTTGACTTTGTTTGAATACAAAATAAGGTAAAACTTTCATCTTTTACTCGTACGACGGGATGAGATGAGTACAGAAAAAGTATTAAAGTATGTTACAGAAGAAAAAAATTCTTCTAAGCACGTGCAAGACTCAAAAGCTAAGGATGGCAATGGTTTGAAGTTTGTGGTACTGTGGATGTTGAAGACACAAGCGCATTTGGTAGTATTTTGATAAAAAGGTCGGAAACAATCTATAGCCTCGTTACACCTCAGTCACAATCGAGTGGCAACCTTATTCCAACCTAGTCACAACTAAGTCACAACATAGTCACAATCTAGTCACAACCTTATCACAACCTAGTCGCAACTGATTCGCAACCTCTTTACAACTTACGTTCAACCTACACACATCTTAGTCACAACCTAGTCACAACCTAGTTGCTGAATTGGTTCCATCAATAAGTAATATATAATGCCCTCATGAGCCATCCATTGTAGTGTCATAAAGTCCCAATATCGCAATTAATTGACCCCCTGCCAAAATGTCATACGTTATAAACCATTTATCATGAAACTTGATCATCATCCCACCCAAAAAACTTCACCATTAACTTTTTTTTCTACTTGCTCATGCTTGAATGATACTAATGCCATAAATGCTATTTTCTTGTATTAAGGATTCTATAAATAGTAGCTTCTCACTTCCATTTTTATCCAAAAGCAAAGTTTTTTTTTCTCATACAACAAAAAGATATCAAGGCATCGATGCAAGACATTTCTGGTTGACTTCATTTTATTCTCGGTGTCTTAAACTCTGCATGCCGCTTGTTTTGTTTTGTATTGAGATTTCTATCAATTCTGACCTGGCTTTCTTTCTGAACTTTCCTAAAAGGGATGTAAAAAGCAGCAAGGGGTAGAAAGGTCTGCTCATTGAGATGTGAAAATTATCATGCTGAACTGCTGTCTTTGTTAATATTTTTCATTAATTTGTCAGATGGCTCCCCAATAATGAATCTTTTTGGGGTAAGTTTAAGAAATTATTGGGATTTCTAAAGAGTTCGAGTCAAATTAAATCTGTTCTGAAAAAATATTGATGCTGGGTTCTGTGGATTTTCGGTGTGAATTTTAGCTAATGAAAATGTTGATTTTTGAGTTCCAGATGCACTAACCTGTTAATGATGGCTTAAAATTTGTAATTTCCAAACTTAAAGTATTCAAATATGAAGCATAAAATCTGGGGTTGTTCACAAATGACGTCTATCAATTAAGGTTCTAACCTCCCTTTAAACTGATTCTGCTGATTTTCTGGTGCTAAAACTTACAAAAGCTCAATTTTTGTATGATAATGTTGTCAGCAAGGAAGAGGGGGTCTACCTTTCAAATTAAAAAATCAAAATGAAAGATCCCATACCTTCAAAAATCACCAAACTCTTAAAACAGGAACTGACTGAATTTTAAAAATTTAATAACTTTATGAGCCAGCTCATTTTCATGCCATGATTTTCATGGTAGTTTAAGCACTGATAATTTGCAATCCTTTCATCATATAGGAAGAAAATTTTCAAGCAAAAGGTAACGACTAAGAACACATCATGCATGGTAATCCTTCCAAAGAATTTTCTTTTACAGAAATAAATTTTTGATTAGCATAAATATCTCAATCCCTTGTGTACAACTCGTGTATGTATACAAAATATATTAAAATGAGAGGAAAACAAGAATAAGAAGAAAGTAAATGCATTAATAAGCTTCTGTATATCCTCCTTTTTCATAAACTCTTTATCATACATAATAAAATCAGTATGAGAGCAAATTGATTAAAAACATTCGCTTCTGCTTTTTTTTCCATCCTTGATTCTCAAAGCTCTACATACATAAATAAGTAAGTTTTGACAAAAAAGAAGAAAATACCGAAAAGATAGTAAGAAAGTTTTTTTGGGAGGTATTAAGAGGGCGAGTAAGTTAGCTAAAGCGGAATTTCTAAAGCTTATTATTTTCAAGTTCGTTATTTGAATTGTGCCTAGAATTTTGATCCAAGAGGTTCAGTCTCTTTGAGAGTGGGGAACAATTATAGGTTATATCACTGATCTGGTTATGAAGCTAGATCGTATATAAGTATGATTGGTGTGATACTGAAGTCCTTTGAACAGAATAAGTACGGAACCATGTATTAAAGTCTTAAAAAATCCATTTTGCAAACATTGACTGTAATTAGGGATATTCTTAGCTTCTTAATGTCTTTATGAAAACTCTGTAGGGCTCTTCTGGTGAAAAAAAGACCCTCTTTGGCAGTCATTTGAAAGCACATAAAGTCCAGAGATTCAGAGTGCCCTCTCCAACTTTGCACTGCTCGGTACCGTTTAAAACATTCCATAAACAATAAGTCACTGTATCTCCATCTCAAAATATAAAATTGGCTGTAATTCTATGCTTAAACATTCCCTGAATCGCCTTATTGTATAAATTAAGAACTCTAACTGAGCCTAGTCAACTCTCATCTTAATTGACTCCCCTCCAAAAAACAGTCGCTAAATAGGAAAATGAATCAAAAACAAGAAGAACAAAAACCGAAAAAAAAACATATTTTCAATGAATAAGAATCTGAAATGAGATTATGGTTAAATGAGGAAGTTAAATGGGATGTATAAAGGATACAAATAATATCATTTCGGCAAATGTGTGTATTTGGCTCTCGACATAAATTCTGAGTTTCTCTCATACTAACATACATATATGAATAAATATAATAGTGACGCCAAGGAGACGCACCAATAAAAATTGATGAATGTGAAAATCCTTTGAAATTTTGTGCTAATAGAAATGGCAAAGCCAGCCTCAAGGCAATGAGCATTAAATAGCAATATAATGTCATTTTTTTTGCCCTTCAAACATGAATTTTTCGGAGCAAATAACGACGACTTAAGTTAATCACATTAAGCCCAAATGTAAGGAAGATATCTTTAGTGACATATCAGAGGGAGTCGATTGTGTGACATTGGCGCTCTTTTTCATCTTCTTCTCAATTACTTTTTATATTGTTGCAAAGCTGATATAAAAGATGCGATAATGTTTTCCTTTCGAGACGGAATTAATTTTATTTTATTTCATTTTTAGCGCAGTTTTTTGAGTTTGGGTTTATTTGATCTTTGTCTTTTTGATTACTGGTACTGGGATCGCTAATTTTTAGTAGCTGTCTAGGCTAAAGAATATGAGTCAAACTTGTCTATGTCGAAGATATAACTCATTAAGACTAGAAACGTTTGTGTTGGTTTCTTGCTTTACATGTTCATCTATTCTTACCTATAGTACCCTACCTCAATCCCACAGCTACCCAATAGTATAAACCAAACCTATGGTGTTCTCCTAAATTATGAGTGTAGGCAAAGGTGCATGTGCGTCACTGTGAGAGCAAGCTTAGGCAATCACAGATTTTGAGGAGAGATTCTAAGAAACAAAAACTGATTCTTAGATAATTTAAAAGCCAGAGTCCTTAAATACCCTGGCAAGCACTGACATGCTGCTGATTGTCAGTGCTTCATACCTCTATGTCCCGGATTAGCCTATGCATCTAAGTTTGCAATCCTTTGGTATGGAATATTCCAATAGAGTTAAAGCACCCATTTCTCCTCAAAAGAACGAAAGAACTCTAAAATTCTCAATTTCAAGCCCTAAACAGCTTGATAAATCCAATCGAAAAATGCGCCTTAATCTTCACACCCCAGAAAAAATCTTTCAACTGAGAAATTTTTATTCTACCCTCGCCACATTCCGTCTCTATTTCCATCTCAATTGATGATTCTTAGATATGTCTAGTTTACAACATGAGCCAATGGCAAGAAAAAGGCAATTTATTCAATGAAGATTTCATGTAAAAGTAGTTCGCTTTAGGGAAAAAATTTAAATTTAATCTAAATAAAAAAATTATTCAATCTCATTTTTTTATCCTATCGTGATGAAGGCAGAGAAATTTTGACTTTGTGAATTGAATTTTTAAGGTCGCCAGAATATACGCATAGGAGACAAATAATCACATTTTATAGGAATTTTTCATAGCCATCTCCACATAACCGAAGCTATACAAAAAAAAGTATATTCGAAAATTTGACATGCAACATTTTATCTAAAATGACAATGTTGAATGTACGAAGTTTCATGGCTGTTTTCTTTACAAAATTAAGATTTAATGTGATGTATGTTGCGGATGCGTGTGATATATTTTGTATTGTGTGTTCAGCAACAATTACATTATCGTTAGGAGATTGTAGACAATTTTTATACAAAAAAAAGTATTAGGCATGGGTAGAGACATTAATATATCGTATACGCCATGTCTATTCATGATGTGCATCTGATAATAATTTGATTTATATAGCTGAATCCTTTTTGGATGGTTACAAACATTATTGCTGTTTGAAGTGATGCTTTTGTGAATGTTTACGTATTTTTTTGGAAGCTAGGCTGTTGAGGAAATTGTGATTTAATGGTTTATGAAATTATAAATTGAAATTTTTGGGGATTGCTTGAGTATTTGTTTGCTGACTTCCAGAGCCAGACAAATCAAATCCTCTTTTAAAAAGTGGGACAAGCTGGCGCTTGCTTATTCCCGACCTTAAGCAGAAAACTGTTTTCAATTCCCGTCATTGTTAGTTCCAGTTCGGTGCTATTTTTGTATTTGTAAGCTTAAATTGTCGATTGTCTGCTTGATGGGACATACTTACTTCTTACTTCCTTGGCTGGGGAGCACGTGGGCCCATTGACAACTTCTGAGATCGACTAAAGACAGCTCTTTCCTTCGAGACATTGTGCCAGTTCGGGATTTTAAGGACTCTAGCGTTCTTATCAACACATCCAATTCAGGTTTTCTTTGGTCTTTTTCTTAAAAACTTGTAACTGGTTTCTAGGTTTGATAGAACGTTGAACGTTGATTTATGGTTTCCTGAATAGCCCAAAAAGTAGTTTGAAGTCCTTGCTTTGGCTAAGGGGCTTGGTATAAGGCTATGAGCAACACATGACTTCACATTTTACTCTTTTTAGAATCAATAACCAAGTTGTTGATTACAAATTGACAAATTGTGCTGCCAATTCATCAAGTTCAACAGAACTCACACTTATCAACTTCAAAACATATTTATCTACTCGGAAATCCTTTACTCTCAACAACATTATATACAAAAACATTCCATGACAACCAGATAACTATTTCAAAAGAAAAAGCACATTTCATTAATTTAATTTCCAGCTTCACACAAGTACAAAAGAGTATCTCAAAGTGGATCTCACTTTATTTTTGCTATGAAAAAATTCCATTTCACATAAGTACGCACATAAGCTAGCAAAACAGTCACAGCAATAGACTAAAAGAGAAGTTAAAAAAAATGAAATGAAAGTAATGTCCCAGCACGATATCATGAGATACTTGTCTGAAGTACTATTTTCTTTCCTTTTTTTTATTCTCTTCCAAGTATCCCCTTGGCGGTTGGGAACAAGAAGAAAAATAAAATAAAAATGTGAATACATAGCTGAAATGCGATAAACGATGACCAAAAGTTATTTATGCTCTTGTTGATTTTTTTTCCCACCCTCTTCTAAATTTTCTGTTATTCTTCTTCTTTTTATTTCATGTGCCGTATTATATAGCTCGAGTATGTCAACCACAAGATGTAACATTACACCTAAAAGCCGGCAGCTATCCAGTGATAAGCCCAGAGAACATTACCTTTCCAAAGCACTTTTTAAGTGCTGAACAAAGGTTGGTGTGTTAATTTATGATATGCTTTTATTGACTTGATATATATTTTTGTGAGTGTGAGTGTGTAAATGTGCATAATAATGTGTGTGCTGGATGTGCCAATGGATCATAAACTACAAGAAGAAATCAGATTTTGTAGATCTTTTCAAATTTTAAATTTGAAAGTTTGACAATTTTTGAGGTGAGCTAAGATAGGGTCCATCTATTCTAGTACAGGATGCCCCAAGTAATTTTGAAAACTGTCCCTTGGTTCCGTCTTTGTCATAGTTTTTGTATGAGGCTATTCCTAAGGCAGTGTTGTCCAATCTTTTTGAGCCATTGCACACCTTTGGAGTAAGCCATAATCAAAGTCGGACACAGCATGCGGCTCATGGGATTTTCAAAAAATGTCTAGTGTGCCGTGGCACACAGTTTAGGCAACACTGTTCTAGGGTATACCTAGCAACCACTTTTGAAATCATTTCATTGCATTTGATAATTATTGAACTTAGTATGTCCTCAACAACTTCAGAAACTCCCCCAAAACTTCAAAATTACGACTAGCACACGATTATTATTATAACTATAAACACACAAAGTCTTTAATGTCCCGCAATTTCACTGTCATCCATTTTTTTACTCATGGCAAATTTATGTCGTAATGTTTGTATGTCCTTCCATTTATTTCGTATATATCGACAATCGCATACAATACATTACACATTACGATGAGGATCTGAATGTTTATTTTATGGAAACGACGATCAATTATGATTATTTTACACATTCACTCTCTATTCTTATCACATTTTCTCCTTTATGCTCCGCATTTTTATATTTATGTCAAACAATAAAAAAATATATGTGTGTACATATCATTTATAGGTACGAGATTTACACACTTCAATTTAAATCAGATGGAGTGACACGTCGAATGACAATTGATGGACCACAACCGGACAATTGGTTTGCTGTCGCATTCATTTCATGGACAGATCCGAACAATGATAGAATCGAGCAGCAAGGTAATTATTATGAAATTTTAATTATTTTTTGTGGGCTTGCAAGCGCTTGTGTAAAGTGATTGTAAAAGGAGCTTTGGGTAAACTTTAATAAAATCCTATAGACACAATAAAGTTATTAGGGAAATCCTGTGTCGTCGTGTTAACGACAAACTTTCAAAAAGTTGTAGAGTAGCTTAACAGTGCTGTTGGTGCTGTTTTAAGACTAATTTGATGGAAAATCTCATTTTTTTTGCTGTTAAATTAGCTTGATCACCTGTCAAAGTTTTTGGAGGTCACTCTTACGTACTTTTCATATATTTCTGTTAATAAACTGACTTAAAAGTCCCGAGCGACATAACACAGCCTCCACAATATTGTAACATTATCGCATTGACGTCAAATTGACAACATTGATCCAAACAATTCCCATTTGATGACAAAAAATTAAGTTTATCAGTGTGCCATTTGAGAATGTCCCAAAAATTGTGTTATGGGCACAAGTTGCGTGCCCTTCAAGCTAATGTAATAGCCTAAAGTCATTAAAATAAATAAATTTAAAATCAATTTTATTCGCAAAATTCTTTACACAAGCTCATTATTTCCTTTTTAATCACCAAACAAAAAATCCCCTCTTAATTTTTTTTTTCGTTACCGTTCACACACATTTTAATTTGCGAACGATAATTACTATTTATTCAGCTGAATTATTTATGGATAATGTGCCTCGAACAACGACATTTAGTTACGGGGGTACACAAAAGAACGAGAAAAATAATGAAAATATTGCCTTTTTTTCTCTCTCTTTTACAAAATAACTGTAATTAAAGGCTGTAATTAATTGTTCTCCCTCTCCATCTCATTTGCTATGCCTTTTTGTGCGTTTTAAATAAAGTATGAAATAAAAGATGAGAAAAAAGGCGAAATGACAAAGGAATCCAATGTAATGAAACAGAATCATTAATGTTGTGTCAGCCCTTGAGCATCTCTCCTCTCTTTGTTACTAAGCTTTGTCGTAAAAAGTACTTGAAAATGAGGAAAAATGTTGGATGTACATAAAAAAGACGATTTTTAAAACCAAATGAGAGATGTGGAAAAAAATTTAACTTGAAGATTCACTTTGAGACTTCAATGGAAGCCGTCTTATCCTTAGACCTTGACATTATAGTGCCTCTAAGTCTCTTTGACGCTTTATTATTAATACGGCAACTTAGCTGAGTTCTAAAAGCTTAGTGGCATTGAGTAAACTCCTTAAAGCTTCAAGAAAAAGTGAAAACCTCTTGAACATCCCTGAATGAAACTCTTCAGCACCTGCAGTTTCCTTCATCAAAGTGCATCATAAAGATTTTCAATATCAATTCAGTTTTATTTCAAGGAAACTAATTGAAGATACGTAATGATGCTTAAACGTGCACCTGAACAGCTTTTTTTATTAAAACAGAGTCAAATTAAAAGATACAAGATACAAAAAAATTTCATCAGATACAAAGGCTACGAATTGCAGGCAATAAGCGAAAGCTTAAAGCCTGAAAAAAAATGTAATGAGAATGAGAAAGCAGAGACAGGAGTCGTAAGAAATGAGGGAAACGAGGAAGTAGAAGAAAAGACATAGAAAGAAGCAAAAAGAGAGAAAATTTAAACATTAGAAAGATAACAGAAGCTTGTTGTAAAGGAAAACGTATAACAGAGGAGAAAATTAGCATCATCAACTTTTTTTTAAATGGTTTTAGACATTTAATGACTTTTTCTGCCAGAACAGAGCTATAATATGAATCTCTATGTGAATGTATTTAAGATGAGCGCGTAAGCAAAAAGCTAGTTTGGGAGTGGACTAATTGTAAATGAGATTAGTGCGGTTTTCTCGAGATTTTTTTTGAGTTTTGAAAAATAATGGAAGTTGTCATGTTGTTGGAATTATTATAAGTTTTCTTTAAATTACTTGTAGTTTTCGTGGAATTATTGGAAGTTTTCATTCAATTAATGGAAGCTTTCTAGGAATTACTGGAATGTTTATTGGAATTATTGGAAGGTTTGATTGAATTAATGGAAGTTTTATTGGAATTATTGGGAGCTTTATTGGAATTAGTGAAAACTTTTATGGAATTACTGAAAGCTTTTATGGAATTAACGGAAGCTTTCTAGGAATTACTGACAGCTTTTTTGGAATTACTCGAAGTTTTTTTTGAATAGATGGAAGCTTGCTTGGAATTACTGGAAGCTTTCTTGGAATTATTGGAAGCTTTATTTGAATTAATGGAAGCTTGCTTGGAATTACTCGAAGGTTTTATTGAATTAATGGAAGCTTTTTTATCAAATAATGAAACATATTTTAAGCTTTTTTCACTTTTTTAAAAATTATTAAAAATTTTATAAGATTTGCATTTCAATATTTTTTCTCCTCCAAACGAAATGCCTTAAATAATAAAATAAACCATTAAAGTAAGCAAGACGCTTGAAAAATTCCAATTTTCATTTTCTCTATTCCTCGCTTGACGCGTTCCTGAGCGTAACATTTTGCAGCCTAAAGGTATTAAGCCATATACATAAATGCTGAAAATACAAAAAAAAAATATATAAATGATAATGATATGAGATTAAAATAAACATGATGAGCTTGTGAATCACATTTTAAATGTAATGTATAATCGCTTTGTGAACGGCAATTTGCAAGAAATGAAATCGATTATTCAGAGTGCTTTACTTCTTCTCTTGTAATATCATTTTATAAATCTCTTTTTTTTAAAAATCATAAGGAACACAAGAGAAATAAAAATAGTAAAGAAAAAGAAAATCATTGAAATGAGAATTTTTTTTTTCATCATCTGTGTAAGGAATTGGATTTTTCTCAAGCTGAAGATTCAAAAGCTCTTCTTTTTTTTGCTTTACGACAGAACTATAGTCAGCAGTTAGTTGATTGAAAACTATTGTCATTTCTTACAGACTTCATTCCAATTATTTTTACTTTCTTATTACATTCGATGCTGATATTGAAGGAAATTCCGATATTTGTAGTCATTGGAAGTATTGTGAACATAGAGCGCATTTTATTGGGAGATAGTTGACAAATCACGTGTTTGATAAGCAAGTGGAAATAGAGAACTTATTCAATTACTAAAATGATTCATCCCCTTTCCTTTATTTGAGAAATTGGAATTCTAATGCCAGTTTTTATCACTGCCTAGGGCAGTCTAGGATTGAAATTCGATGTAATACAATATGGAGCATTGAGACAAAAGTATGGTGATTTAGGTAGCTCTAGGTTGTTTCTAGGCTCTGATTAACACTTAGTAATCCAATAACAATTCCAAGATCATCTCATGTAGTTCCATTTCTCATCTAAAAAGATGCTACAAAATTAAAAGAAATCCTCATCTTATTCTTACATCAATTCTATACTCATATTTCAGTTTCTTTGGAATGAAAAATTACTATCGACAATTTTTTCTGTTATCTCTCAGAAGAAAGTCTATTATTACGATATGTAATGAGATTTTCTGCTCATATTACATTTTCATTCAATCAGATGAAGCTTGCATTATCATAAATCCATATACATAAGCTGAATATGAGCTTTTATATTGATCCCTGTGGCTACTCAATAAAATATTTTGTGCACATGTGGTCAGATTAGTTGAGAATTAGGAAATATCTCGACTATTTCTAATTATTGGCAATGATTTACTGATAAATTGCATTAATTATTATTATACATCTCGAATATTAGATTATGTTAATGTTAATGTATCAGCAATTTAGTGTGAAGATTAAAATTTCTGTGAGGTGACTTGACATTTATGATTAAATATTATGGAAGCTATTGTTTTGATAGAATTACGAGCATCACATGAGAATGACATAGAATGAAGATTGGCATTACAAAATGTCAATTAATAATAGCTTATAATATCATAATTTGTTAAAATTGCAATGTTCAATGATTTAATCTAGAAGTAGCTCTTTGGATATGGCTTTAAGAGCATATCTGTAGTTGAAATGCATAACGAAGGGCTCGCGTTGGACTGGTTATATGTGTATGACGGATACTCAAAGTGAGATTAGTACCTCGGTGGCAGAGTAGAAGGGATCTCTGATCGAGTGGTTAGAGATCGCCTCATTTTAGGTCGTGGGTTTGATTCCCATCGAATCTGACTCGTTTTACATTAGGACACACTTATAGCAGTTATAGGGAGATCTACAAGCTCAAGGAGTAGTAATAGAGTTTTTGAGGATATGGATGTGGGGATATTCATAAGTGTCTTTTGAAGCTTGGTAGTCTCTCTTAAATTTCAAAAAGCACACAGATACACACCAAGATAACCCTTTAAAAAATTAAACTCTCTTTATTTTTAAAATTGTGTAAACCTTATTTCTTCATAAATGTTCATTAAATTCCATTTTACCATAGCGATCTCTAGCATTTCAATTTACCCATTATTTTAGAAAAATCACATCATTTTTTTCTGTTTAAAAATACAAAACTGTCATAGCAACGAACGTAGGCTGCGTCAGATAAAACAACAACGATACATCTTCGCTATAGATGAATTTTTAATGAAAAGTTGATTTAGAAAATTTTCCATAAATAAAATTTTCGTGAAATTTTCGTCTGAATATTGAAATGGCAAAAAGCTAAAGGGTTGTTTAATTACGTAGGTCTATGATTTTGTGATCTTTAGGCAATTTGTGATAAGGGGGAATGGAGGGTCTGAAAATAAAGCTTTTTAAGTGAACGGCTTTTATTATGCAACGCAAAAGTAAGACTTTTTATATATTCTCTTCCTCTCTCAATATAAATAATTGTTAAAAAATTTGTTGAAAAGCAAACTTAGTAAGGAAATGATTACTTATAGCAATATTTTAATTTTTCTACCCCGTCCCCACCCATTTCACAAAATTTTGGTTGGTATGTTTGTAATGTCATACTGGCTTAACGTCCTCTTTCTCTTCTTGTTCAACCAGTTGAATATCATTCACTGATGACCTGGTTTCCGAGCCTGGGAAAAATCGATAAGTTTTAACATTTTTAAAGTATATAATGAGATTATATTTTTACAAAATCTGCAGAAAAATTCTAAGAAATCTTCAATCACAAAGATAGAAATTTTAACCCAAACCTACTCCTAGCTTCACCCCGTACAGTCTAAACATCAATTTTAAGAAAGCTCCAAGTTAAAAAAAAAACGACTTTGACATTTTCGTGGCTGTTCATTTCAAATTTAATTATCATCATTAAAATAAATTTCCATTTTTCATTTGTAAGACAAAAAAAATTTGTCGCTCGACTTTTGTGTGAGAATAAAAATTATTATGGCAAATATTCATTTTCGCCACCCACTTTATCTACTTCACAGAAAATAGCAAAATCGGAATAAAAATGTAATCAAGTCGATGATTAATGAATATGAAAAGAAAATGTAATTTTCAATGAAAGAATTTTTCTGATTAAAACTGACAAATAATTATTATGATGATTAATATTTATTATGATAAAATGATAAATCTCTTAATGCTTCAAAGTCATTTCCATTCATTCACATCTCCACTGAGAGCATTTTAACATTAAAATGAAAATGAGAAAATTAAATTATTAAGCAGAAATTTATGTTCAAGCATTAGTCTCGAAAAGATATTTTCATTTAAATTTGCTGAATATAAGCACAAATGGAAATGAGAAAGATATATTGTCACCTCAAATTTATTTCATATAAACCAAAACCAACAAAAACGCAAAACCTACCTTCACATTAAAGAATTTCTCTTCTTTTTTATTAATTTGTGAAAAAGGCATAAAAAAGTTTTTTGCTTTTAAAATAAATTAAATTTGTGAATAAATAATACTAATGAAAATCTCAATATGGCTGCGACATATTCTTTCAGTCGACTAGTTTTAACAATTTTTGTTCACTGTTTTAGAAAAATTTTATGATTTTTCTTTGATTCCAAAAACTGTTTCTTAAGTTTTTTAAATTGTAAATTAGGTTTTTGAACTATGAAACATTGTAATTGCTCTAATGGCACCATTATATCCACTTATGGCCGATGATAGCCCTTAATACGGGGTTTGGGGTGGGGGGGGGGGGGGGGTATTTCCTGAATAACAGTTAAATGATTAAGGGTTAGTCGTAGCTACACAATTAATGGTAGAAATTATTTTTGATATTTTCTTTGCAGCTTTAAAATGATTAAAAAGAAACGGTCTGAGCTTCTTTTTTTTTGAGTTTCGAACCCATACGCTTTGTAGCAACACAAATATTGGAGTTCGAAGTACCAAATACTGAGCCACTTCAGCTCAGAAGTTTCCATGAATTAAATGGCTTAATCTTAAGGCATTATTTTCAAAAAAAAAAAAAAAGATAAGAAACCAAGCGATCCCTCTATGTCAATCAATATCTTTAATTTGAAGGATGAATTCAGCACAGATCATTAATAAATTAAAAGTTAATTAAGAGCAATAAAAATAAACCTAAAACTCATCAAACAAATTTATATCGAGCACATCAAGTCCATAAAGCATCACCAAAAAAATCAAAAACTAATTTTCATCCGATCATAAATCCCAAATTTCCCTCCTAGCTTATTCCAAAGAAGAAAATAACATAATCTGAAATAATAGATGTCATGTTCTCATTGTCTTCTTTTATTCTCTTCCCATCCAGGACTATCGCCATCATGCGAGACAATACTATTATCAGAAATGGCAGTCACACGAGCATCATCAAAGATACTCAATGCCGACGTGGAGTTTAGTGACATTCTCTACACAAACGTAAGCACACCAAATAGCTATAAATTTTTTGTGCCACGTAATGTCGACATATGTATATTCAAAATGACAATCACGAAGCCGTGCGATGAATGCAAGGATATGAATTTTTCGGTCCAATCTCGATCACTGCCAACGTCAAAGAGCTATTTGCATAGTACGATTATCAATGCTAGTCATATAAATGATGAGGTAATTGAATTCTATCCGCATGAAAATGCCTGGCATTATGTCGATGTGAAATTCTTTGAGCAACAAAATACATTTGGCGATGCATCAGTGCATAAAATGAATACATCATCAACAATCATGTCGTCTTCATCGAGGCCACTTAATCCAAATAATAGTAATAATAACAATAATTCTAATAATTCTAATGCCGTCCATCATATTGAGTATAACATGACGATTGAATTTCAACATAGAAAAATAACTGAGAATGAGAATCAACAGCAGCAAAATATCGATGATGTTGTTGCCGATGATGAGAATGATGATGATGATGATCATGATAGTAATTTCATTATTTATGGCGGTGACAATTCAAAGGATTTTACGAGATACATTCCACCGATGCCAAAACATCGTGCTTTTTATGAGTATCCATTACTGCGTCAAACATACAGAGAATTTTTTATGTACGATTATGATTTAGTACCCGATGCAAATGGTAGTGTCCCATTGTCAATTAACCTTACATCGCGTATGCCAACATTGATGAAATTCGAAATAGGTGATGTTTATGATATTGGCGGTACGGTTACATTTGCACTCGCCATGAAATCTGACATAATGGGTAGTATGGCTGAATCGTCGTCATCGACATCGTCCATTCACATTGATTTAAATGGTGAGCCAGCAATTGCTGAAAAACTCACAGCTGAGGAAATGAAATTTACCAATCAAACTGTGATTGTTTGTATAAGATTAAATGAACCAGGCATACCGACATGGCCCGATAAATGTACGTACGGACGGCATGTATTCACAGCAAATGCTATTATTAATAATACAAATGAGGATACCGGAACGTCTGTCGTACACATTCCATTTCCTGAAAGCGGTTCTTGGTATGTAACATTGGGACTTTTTTGTCATGGCGAGACAATTGAGGCAACGGCACGTACAACAATTATTGATAGCGTAAAAACATTTATACGCTACAATAGACAAATGCTCAAATCATTTAATTCACAATGCTCATGTGTAAAGGAATTGAATTTAAGTCATTATCGTGAATGTTTGGACACTCAAGCATGTCTGAGTCGTATGAATGAGACTGAGACATTAAAAATTAAAGAATGTCTCATGGATGCAAAATGTACGGCCGCAGAACATGTAAAATTGTCAAAAGCATTCGATATTCATCACAAGCGTGCAACAGAACAGTCAGTGAATGGAAAAAGTATTTTGGGATGTAGTGACGCAAATTGCAATACGAGCATTGCATTTACGCTCGCATCAAATCCATGTGTTACAGGACGATGCGGTCGTAATGGTAGATGCTATCATTATATGAGCGGTGGTTTTGTATTTTCAACATGTTTATGTCTAAAATTCTATAGAGGATGGGATTGCACGGAAGATTCACAAGTGCCATCATCTATTTCGATTCTAGCGGCAAGCTTGATGTTAACACTTAGCAATTTGTTATTTATTCCGAGCATTTATTTTGCTATACGACGTGGATACTATACAGAAGCCATTATTTATTTCTTTGCTATGTTCTTCTCAACATTCTATCATGCCTGCGACTCCGGTGATGAAGAATTTACATTCTGTCTGGTGAAAATAAGCGTCTTACAATTTTGTGATTTCTATTGTGGATTACTGGCAATATGGGTGACTCTTATTGCTATGGCAAATGTTAGGCCAATTTTCGTCTCATTGCTACATATGTTGGGTGCTATTCTATTAGCATTCGGTACCGAACTTAATAAACAATCATTATGGGTCTTCTTGGCGCCAGCATTAAGCGGCATTTGCATCGTCTCATTCAGTTGGACAATGAAATGTCGAAAACATAAAAAAGTTTATCCGTCAAAGAAATATTTTGCTATTTATTTGCCGCTTGGAAGCATCCTTGTTATGATTGGCCTGGTAAGTGACACTTGAAAAATATTTAATGAAAAAAATTTATATATGCTTGAGATGTACGAGAAAAAGTTGTTGAGATGGTTTTTGAGTGAAAGGAGTTGAATAGACGCATATTGTTCAACTTTTAAATGAAGTCACATTACTATGTTGCTGTGACGCACTACTATGTTGCTGAGACACACTACTGTGTTGCTGCGACATACTACTATGTTGCTGTGACGCACCACTATGTTTCTGTGACAAACTACTATGTTTCTGTGACAAACTACTATGTTGCTGTGACGCACTACTGTATTGCTGCGACATACTAATATGTTGCTGTGACATACTACTGTGTTGCTGAGACACACTACTATTTTTCTGTGACAAACTACTATGTTGCTGTGACGCACTATGTTGCTGAGACACACTACTGTGTTGCTGCGACATACTACTATGTTGCTGTGATACACTACTGTGTTGCTGTTTCACACTTGTGTGTTGCTGTCGCACACTACTATGCTACTGTGACGCACTACTATGTTGCTGTGACACGCACCTTTTTTATTGTGACATCAAAGTTGTGTTTATTATGGACAATATGCTTACCACACAGACCATCTCAAACATAAATATTGTTCCTATCAAAACAACTAGAAGCAAAGAGCTCAAGCATATGAAAGTTGAAAATAAAACTAATAAATGATTTTTCTTCTTTCTTTCATATTTCTTCTCCGCCATTGCTCCTTTATTTTTCCTTTTTCCGTCTCTTCTCGCATCACACGAAACATATGTTTAGATTTGTTATGCTTTCCTCCAAACGAAGCAAAACTATCACATCGTCCATTCAATTTGGCATATGGTTATGGCCATGAGCATTTTGTGTTTGCTTCCAAAACGAAAAATGTTTGAAACAAAATGCTAGCAAAAGGCCACGATATATCTTTTGGATTCTGACAATTCATTTAATTCCGGCTCAACATTAGCTTCAACATTGGCATCTTGATCGTAAGCTGTATCTTCTATACACTCATAGTCTCTATTTTTCCACATTCCTATTCCCGTTATTCCCCTTCTCCTTCCTTTTTCGATGTCATACATACAGCATAACACACATATATAATACATACGACAGCAAAATGTGTTGCCAATATCCAAAAGATATAAAAAGCACAAAATAAGAAGAATGGATGAAAGGGAGCAAATGGCAAATGGCAGATGCAATAGCAAACAGCAGTAGCAACAACGACGACACACAAGAAGTTGAGAAAGAGGGAAAAAAGTGTGTCAACAAACTTTTAGAGAATTAATAATGCCATCATGAATCATCTATTTTCAAAAAAAAAAAATAAAAAGAAACAAGTCTATAAAGCCTTATGAAGTACATTATAAGTTTTAAAGTCACTGTAAAAATACACAAAAAAAATAATAATAATGAAAGCACGACTAATGGTGGCAAGGATTAGACTTCCATAAGTTTTGATTGATGAATGAAGGGTCAATGGGGTTGTATTGGCAAAAGACTAGATGTTTATCCTAGTATGACAAGAGTTTACCCTAGAAAACGACCTGTAATAGCTGATTTAGAAGATAAAGCAAATTACGAAAATGAATGTTGCAGATAAGGTTGTAAATAAAAACAGAGACTGGTTTCTAATGCTACTTGAGTTAGAAAGCAGTCCCAGCATCACTGTTGCGTTAGATTAGTTCATTCAGCTACTATCTCCATCTATCCAAAAACGGAAGGTCTAACCTTGCTGTCCTTAGCGTGGAAGCCTATATAAAAATATGAATAATGTCAAAAGCTTATAATGGTACTCAACTGATAAATGAACTCTTCGTTTCCATCTCCACATCAACATATTATTGTTGCATACTCTCATTCTCGTATGTCGTATTTGCTCTCATATATGTCATCCTATTCAATGAAAATGAATCGCAAACAAGGAATTTAACAAAAAAAAAAGATGATGATGATGAATATAAATGCATATGTTAGTTAATATGAGTATAAAAAATGTAGAAGAAAAAAAATGCAACAGAATCATTCATTTCGAGATGCATTTCGCGGTATAATGAACTTTCTTTTTTTGTATAGTTTTTCATTCTATTTTGCGCATTTCAAAGTTTCTTTTCAGTTCTTTTTGAATCATGATATATGTTGAATAATAAAAAAAGAGAACATTATATTGTAAGAAATGATTACCTTATTTGTGCTTGTGCTATAGCTCCTCATCTTCCTTTTCAAGCTCGTTTAACGGCTTTTAGTTCCAATATGCAATAAACTCATTGTGATTGCATATAATGCAATGTGATTTCACTATTGTTACTCCACTTTTGTTATCAATAATGGTTTTTGTGTTGAGTTTACACATTCACAAGCCCACTCATATTTAGCATTAATTAAAATTGCTTTTGTTAATTAATTGAATCGGATGTGGAAGCTTTATTTCTGTAAAGAGGTATGAGGGCTAGCTGAGATTTTTTTTGTTGCGTTTAATATGTAAATTGTTGCGAAATTATTCACATTTGGGTCAGTTTTTATAATTCAAAGTTTAAGTGATCAATCTTGCTCTAGATAACAAAACATAAAGATTGAAAATGATACGTAGTAATTTAAGAAGCTCTCGAACTCTAATGTTTTGAAAACCAAGTTAATACTTAATCGAAATCTTTGACACTTTACTTTCAAAAATTCCACTTATTTCGTTCAGAAAGGGTCAAAATAAGTAAACGATCTCAACACTAAGAGATCGAGAAAAGATTGTTATTAGTAAAATTAATCTCAGATTCCTATCAATGAACCCTATCTGTATCATTGCTATACTAGGGGCCGTTCACTTATTACGTTACAATATGTTACAACTCACAACCCCCCCCCCCCCCCCGAACGTTCATAATTTATTTTATTTTGATAATTTTTTATTCTAATAAGACGGTTAAATTTCTTTTGTGTTTTGATTGATACGATTAGTATTCTCATGAATTATTGGATTGAGATATAAACAGGGTGGGGATTTAAATCATAAATCAAAATCAAAATCATTTTGCAATGATTTGAAAAATGATTTCTGATTTAAATCATTTTACCCAAGTGATTTATTCACACCCCCCCCCCCCCCCCCCGCTATGTTACATTTGGTTACAATTTTTCAAACCCCCCCTCCCCCCTAAAATGCAAACGTGATAAGTCTCAAATATAGCTTAGACATGCTTTACTACACTAATCTGAAAACCTTAGATGACAGCATTAAAGTATAAGAATCTAAATTTACAGAAGACCAACAAAAACATCCAAAAACTCCATCAAAACTTTAGTCAAATAATCTCTCACATCCGATAACTTAATTAGCAAAAAGATAGTACCAGAGAAATGAATTAAATAAATAAATTTGTAAATGTTCAATAAAAAAAAGACTTAAAATAAATGTAAAGAAAATAAGAAAAGATGATAATGAAAAAAGCAGATGTTTCAATCTTAACAGTCTTTATTTCAGATAATGTAATACATTCCTTTACAGTTGCCTTATACCTAATTGCTTCTCAAACATTTCAGCCTTAAATGTACCATCAATAGATTCACAATTCTCATTAAATACGCTATAAGCACTAATTTCCTTCTTTCCTTTCGGTTTAACTCTCGTATTAAAGCAGATGCCTAAGAGCAATGAGAGCATGAAATAAACGGAACCGAAGCTCAATTCAATTGCAATGGCATATAATGTAATCCATATTAAGAAATATATCAACCAGGTACAATATGTTAGCCACGAGCGATTATTAGTATTTTCTGTATTTTCTTCAGCTATTGTTGTTGTTGACGATGCTATTGACTCATTCTCAACGTCATCAGTATCTGTATTCTGTGGAATCAAGACAATTATTTTTATCGATTTAATTTTGCAATTATTTTATTGTCTGGACCTCAATATTCACATTCGTTTCCTCAACTTTCTTATCACTGGATGTAATATTTATTGAAACCATTTTAAAGAACTTTTCTTTTAAACTTTGAAACTTTTCTGTTCGTCTTTTTCTCAATCGATAACTTTCTAGCTTCTCTTCCATACTTTATCATTCAGATTCAACAATTCTATTTCCATATCAAAATTAAAGAATAATTAAAATTGAGAAAACAAATAAATTTCACTTTTTTTGAAACGTAAACAAATTATTCCAGGTCATTGATGAATGAAATTAATTTCAATTCTTTTTTCCCATGGAAGTTTTGAGATTCGTTAGGAAAGAAAATGAAATTTTAAAGAAACCCTTCAAGCTATTTGATTCAATATTGACTCTAACTTTAGTCTTATTCATCAATTTTGCTATTTGATGGTCTCATTGGGTAGCAATTAAGTGTAAAATTTCTATGTCAATATTTTTAATGAGATGATAAAGTTTATAATTAGTAATTGAAATTGAAATTGTTTGCTCTATATTTTTCAAATGATGTTGAACTAATTGATAGGTAGACTTGACATAAATAAAAATGAGTTTTAATTGCTTGTTTTCTAGCGAAATTTCCTTTTATTAAAATTGGTTGCAGAGCTCAAAGTCAAGGTGGGACAAGCGTTGACTAAAACCCAGCTGAACTTTTCTCCTTTCAAAGGTCAAAGCTTTGAAAACCTTTCATAAAGTTCACTCAAAAATTTAATTCCTTACATTTTCATAGACTCTTTGAACATCACCATCAGCAGTCAACCCTAATTAACATCTTAAAATGCAAAGAAAATCGAGTCACGAAACAGATAGACGAGGGAGAAACAAAAAGTTTTTTAAAACATCCCCGTCCTGACCTCCATCAAGCATAAATAAATCAAAATCTTAGGGACACATTGAGCTTCTCAATCCCTTAATAAAATGCAAAAAGAAAGAGGACCTTTTTCGGAAAATAATTAATATTCAGTAGAAAAATGAATCAATGATTCTTGTTGAACCGAATGAGTGAAAGAAAAAAAGGCTATTAACAAAAGGCACATCAGCCTTTTATGTAATTAATTTCCTTAATTGATGTTCTTTTCACTTCATTATGCCATCAATAAAAAGTAGCGTGATTTTGACGCCTTTTTTGAATCTCATGTTGTGATAGCTGTGATGAAAAACTATTGTACGTCAAAAAGCAATTGAATAACTTTTTTTTCCCCTCTGGTGTGCCTTTTTTGTGCGAGTCGCACATCGAAAAAAAATAAATTCTCACATACTCGACATCATCAAATTGAAAGGAGAAACTGTGTGTTTAAAGAACAAGGCATGTAGCTAGGGGGAGCTTGGTAGTCCAACAAGAAAGATTTTAGAAACTCAAATCAAGGATCCCAGTAGTTTAATACCTAAAGCCCTCGAAAATTAATGAATTTCGAACCCTCTCTCCTGACTAACCTCTGTTTAAATTCCACTGCATGAAGGCAATCGTGGAAAACAAATAATTAAATTTCATCTCGTTTTGTTGATGCGAGAACATTCGAAAAATCATAATGCGAAAAATTTTCATACCATTTCGTGAATGATGAAGGGAAAATTCACATTTACAAATTTCCATATTGATGAGTTTGAACATTTTCATGCTCGAACTGATAAGTGAATTCTTTTTTGGATACGGAGACTTCCTTTTTTACTGAATGCTTAATTATTTTCATTTTAAGGGTGTTAAGCTATGGAGCCGTTCACTTATGATGTCCATTAGGGGGGAGGGGGATCAATAAGAAAAGAACAATAGAAATTCCTGGAAATTCATTTTTCTTCTTTAAAAAATGATCGTTATTACCGGACGTCATAATTGAATGACCCGTATTGGGTTTCGTTTAAAAATAACATCATTCAAAATTTGAGGTTTTAGATCTTCTTTCAACAAAAAATCAAGATAAGTTGTTCGTAAACTTGCCCTGGCTTTTAGGAGCCTTCAGTTTAAAGACTTTGTAAAACTGACTATAACTGCTGCATGTGTATAACAATGTAAAACTAGTCATGATCGATGGGAATCAAACCCACGACCTCAAAAGTTTTTGATCAATAACCACTCGATCAGAGATTCATGCAACTCGGTCACAGAAGTACTTATCTCAATTCGGCTATCCGTTACACACATACAGCTAGTTTCAACGCGAGCACTATGCTCAGGCCTATCTACTACAGATATGGTCTTCGAGCCATATCCTCAGACTCTTCTTTTGATCATTATACGTCTTAGTGATCTTAAATTAAAGATTTGTTGAATATTAATACCAAACTGTGTGCCGTAGAAATTTTTTGAAACTGACACGAGCCGAATGCTGTGAAACTACAAGGCAATTAGTAGCTATCTTCAACTTTTGATAATGTTCTAAGTTCAATCAACTTACTTCCATCGCAATCTGAAAAACAATAAAGTAACCATATTAAAGATCCAGTAACAAACGATACAGCTAAGATCAAGAGTATGACAAATTACAGCTTTTACTCATTTTTCTATTTCGTGACATTCAAGTACTTTATGAACATCCTACACTCTCATTTATTTAGCTATGGGTAGATGAACTGATATGAAAAATGCTGACAATTTTTCAGAATTTCAGGTCAAAGTTTGCATAATGTTCAAACATAAACCCATGCCGTGTACATAAGACACGTGTTTGAATCCTTACATTTTTTCCGAAAGTCTACAATAAATTCTTTGAAATTAGGTCCGCAAAAAAAATTATTTATGTGTAGGCTCACCTCAAGCTTCAAATCAAAATGTTTCAAGTGTTTACGTAAAGCTTTCATTAAACACCAGCCAACACATATCAATGCCTCTTTTCAACTATCCGTTGTTATGGTGACATAAAAGACATTTTTCATGATATCAGCACAAAAAAATGGAAAATAAAAAACTCCACATATGTTAAAAAAAGCATAAAAAAATGTATGAAAGTTTTCATGTTCTTGGAGCGTTTCCACTTAGGACAACAAAAAATTATCATTATCTCAATAAATTCATTTTTATTTCATCACATTTTCGTCTAACAAAATTTTTTTATTCTCTCAACTTTAAGCCTTTTTTTGCAACTACTCCACATTATGTAGATATCCACAGCAGTTGTGACGGGATGAATAACAAATTATATTTCCACACTGCACACATGTCGTTGGAAAATCAAGTCGCTGTCTTTTTTTTACTCCCACAGTAAAAATACAGAGATAGGAATGATATGAAGCAACCGTCAAGAACATTAAATATTCTATGAAGCTACCAAGAGATGTTTCAAGAGCAATTTGATATGATGTGGTGGCTGAAAACTTTTTAAAATATTTTACAACAAAAAAAGATTAAGGCGCATTTCTTGTACTCATGAAATACAGGCTCGTAGTCACTTGAAGGACAATTCTTGGTAACATAGTTTCAATGATTTTTGTTCTTTTAAAAAATTACTGAAGATTCCTGGGAAGATTACCATAAAACAGGGTTGCGATACAGTCACCTGTGCACGAAGAGAACTGTACAGATCCTTGATAATTTATGAGGTTTTATTAGAATTTGTATGGTTTTGCTAGAAAAATCTTATAAATTATCAAGGAATCGTACCTGAGCACAGATGCCTGTATCACAACCCTGCCATAAAACTCTTTTCCTGCAATTTACCAATTTTTCTAGAAATGTTGCACCCCTGTAACCAGGGTCTGTTGCATGATATTTTTGAAAAGGAGGTTTTTGAATTGTTTGAGTATAAACGAGAAAAATTAAGAGTGGTTTTTGAGTCAAAATCCAGGCAAAATGATAAAATGTGTGAACCTCTGGCGTGTAGCGAGGACAATCTTGCCCCCCCCCCCCCCCCAAAATTTTTGAGCCTTGCTCTTGTTGTAACCTCTTTCTTCTTCCTTAATACTCCAAAATATGGCGTGAATTTGCAGCTTTGATAGAAGTGATCAAAACGTGTATTCAGAGAGGGGGGGGGGGGTATTTTAGAGACAAATATCTAGGGTTTTATGAAAAAATTCTCCCCTCTTTAAGTTTTCAGAAGCTTTTTCATGTCTTTCCTCTTTTCTTGAAATTTCTGGTTATTACTACTTACTCGGCACTTACAGTAACAATTGCAGACTTTATAGATGGCAAGAGATCTAGAGAAAGACCAAAAAACACCTTTATTCAGAGTTGCGAAACAGGTCACTTGTGACAGGTGAGAACCGTTCAATTGCTTGATAATTTGTATGGTTTTGTTAGAAAAACCTTATAAATTATCAAGGAATTGTAGGGTTTTCACCTGTCACAGGTGCCTGTTTCGCAACTCTGCCTTTATTAAATGTGTTTATACGGACGCGAAGAGGATCTCGAACTGCTGGCAGAAGGTCTTGAAGATCAGAAGGATAGATCTGTCTTCAGACGAATGAAGGCGATAATGGGCCCAAGTGCGCTGTAGTCAAGGAAGAAAGTAAGTAAGTACGTACGTTCTTTGACTGACCTTTATAAAATTCAATTTAAAATTATGCTTTAAAATTGCACTTATCAACAAACTTAAGCATAGTAAAGGGGCCATTCACTTATTACGTAACGCTTTTAGGGGGAGGGGGGGTCTAAGAATTCATTTTTTCGCGTTACGTAATAAGTGAACAGCCCCAAAGGAATTTTCTGTTTAAAGGGTAAAAAAGCCCCCATCTTTGAAGTACGCTTGCAATTTAATATTTTTCCAAGTGTTTAACTATGGACAATGTAACAGAAAAATCAACAATTGTAAGAAAAACCCTTTAGATTCAAAACGTGTACCTTAAAAATGTCCTTCTTTACTTCTTGTTTTTCGTACCAGATAGATGAAAAAAAAAACTTCATTGCAGATACATAACATTTTAATGTGTGTATATATTTCGTATGTTCATATTTCAAATATGATATGATAAAGAATAATAATACTCTATGCTCAAGCGTGTCTCTAGCATCTATCATATCTGGCATGAGAGAATAAAAAAAAAATCTAAATTTTCCTTCTATATTTACATTTTTATGCATGAATATTAGTTGAACGAGAGAGTCTTTTTTTCAGTAATTTTTTTATGATGAATTTTTTTTTAACATATCATGTAATAAAAACAAGAGACTATGTCAACTGGGGGGATGTGCATGTGACTCAATTTGAATAGTGATGAAATTTTACAAATGGAGAAATTTATTCACTCAAATTTGAATGATATATATGAAGTGGAAGGATATAAAGTTCAAAATTATGTGCAA